GCTTCACTACAAAGTTTGTACCACAGCTTATGCTTATGCTCATTCTGATGAAAATTGACTATGTATACAGACCTGTCACCAGCTTTGAGCATTAAGGGGGGCCATAGTACCAGCTAGGGGGGGCACATCACAAGAGCAATAAAGAATTTGAATGCTTGTAGTTTGTGCCAATGGGGGGGTCAACTGCACGCTGGGAAGGGAGGCAGGCCTGGCCCCCATTAGCAATGGGACTGTGTGTGTACAAACCATTGAGTGGTGGCATTGTTTCCAACTCACTGGGGCTCTTTTGAGTGGTCACACGATAGACCTCTGCACTGATGATGCCACACTTTATGTGAGTGCTTTCCTGTGGTGCTCTGTGGACTCTACACCCCCCATGGCTTTATAGGAAAGTCTACCTGTATTGTGATGTCAATACATAGGGCTACTGGAATGAGGCTTTGCATTCATGATAAGATACCAGACATGGAAGTTTACCAAAAATTTATGTATCCTTGGTTAGTGCACATTCCCACTCTGAACCCCCTGGAAAATTTCTTTTACTGCTTTCCCTTGCTTTCAGGCAAAATGAGCAAATCAATCATTCATGTGGTTTCAGTACTGTTCTTTGGCATTGTGGCTTAGTAGTTGAGAAAAGAGTTGCTAACTTTCTAATATTCTTTGACCAGTGTATATACTGTCAGTATTTTGATTACATCTGCGGAATTGTTTTGGTTGCAAGTTGATTGTTTTTGATCAGGAAGGAGAAGAAAATGAAAGAAACATCCCTGTTGAAGTGAATTTAGTTTGGAGGCAAACCCTTCAATTATGCCAGTAATATTGCAATAATACTGCTTTTGAAGTGAAGGTAAAGCTTCAACAGATTTTCCAAATATGGAACATTTGTGATCAATTTGTACTTGTCTTATCTGTGGAAAGTTGTTCAATGCTTGACTGTGTAAATTCATTTCCAATTGACATTGCCTGCACCTATAAAATGCAAACGGGAACAAGTACTGGTCATTTCACTCTGTTGAAGTGCGACCCACCATCCCAAAACCTGGCTGAAGTCGGCATTTGTGATGTGGACAATTCCTCTCCTTCAGCTTTTTTTTTCACACTGTAAAGTGATCTATGTTAAATCTAAATTCTGTCTGCAGTAAGCTTCTTACGGGTAGTGATAGCCATAAAACTCCCGTGAAAATCTGAACAGTGGGAGTTCCACTGTGTTAGGGTTATGAAGTAACCGACTTCAGCCTGGTTTGGGGATGGTGGGTCACAAATGTACAAAATCTTGTCATGGTGTATCATGATCATTCAATTCTTTATTTAGTAAAACAAAAAATGTTTTCATTATAGCCAATACCAGATGTGTTGCTGACCTACAATGTAGTGACAAAACACATGTATTATAAATAAAGTGTACAAAACACACCTTCCAAAATGTCCAGTTCTTTTTATTTTTGCTTTTCTTTGCTCACCATATGGCCAAGGTTAAAGCATAACAATATTAATTTCATGTAAGAACCCTAGAATTAAAGAAAGACAAGCACATATTTACAGAAGGTAATATGGCAAATGTATCAAAGCAAAAACACGAATTATGTAAGTTTTGTCTCTAACAAACTTGGTTCTCCTTGTTACCATACATGGTTTTTGTGTGAAAGAATAATGCTGAATATTACGTTGATATATCCTTGTGATTAGCTACCGCACATTCATATATACATGTATACGTGCATTTTTAGCAAACTTTAATTTAAAACGTTGACATTTCTTAGGTCCAACAAGCTAAGGATCTGAAATGGGCCGATAACACTCAATGGATTTATAAGGCAGATTTCAAATGGTTACCAAGTTAAGTGATTCACCCAGTGGAAAATCGACAATGTATGAGAAAATGAATGGCACAGACTGAAGCTTAAATGCTAATTCCTTTCAGGTAAGAAAAGGCTGAGTGCTTTATGCTAGATCGTTCTAAGCTTGTATGAAATACATGTAACTGCCCTACTTACACAAGGCCCTATTACTCCCGTTACTGTACAGTCATTCCATGCTTGGTCTACACTTTGTGTTCCCCCCCGAAGAAATTGTTTCTCAATAGCTCAAGTAGTTCCTTAAATGCTGAAATTTCAATAGTTTGAAAACTGACAGTGCTGCCCTAGAAAGTCGGCTAGTTATTTCTGAAACATGAATATGACAGAATGCACACCTCTTGCATCTTATGACATAAAATGAAATGACTTTGACGTTATTCCATAATCTTTTTTACCGTCCAATGAAAGAAGGTGACCAACTGCAACAACCTGGATTTACTCAAGGACGCAAGATATTTCTGACAAAATCTCAATCCATGACAGGAGACTTCAGTGTCTTCTCCACTCTGTGTTAAAGAATCAGGAAAACCCTGTTTAAACCAGCAAACATCAACCTTTTCTTCTCTTTGCCCTGACTTCAACAAGTCAAAGTTAAACTTTTCTTTCCTGTCCACATTCTGGTCTGTGCCAGTGATGTCAAGTCCATCAAAAGTCCTCACAAGTCATCCACAGTGGCATAAATAGGGGGAAATTTCTGAGGCAGCAGCCATATTTTAAATTGAACTGTAGCTTTTATGTTTGGAGAATGTACCCCTTCCCTCTATAGCTACAGCCATGGTCATCCAGTCTTGTGCTGTTCAAGCCAATCATTATGGAGACACTTTGACCACACTTGCAACTGGACCTACAAAAGGACTCCTGACAGACTCGACTGTGGCCCCCGCTTCACACCCGGTTCAGTTTAGTGACGAGAAGCACACGCAGCATCTGGTCAAAGGACGTGCAGACACACACTCCCTCCCGGTCCGGACTCCAGTCGAAGCCACCAATGGGTTGCGTGGACAGCGCGGCATTCTGCAAAAGGTTCAACGATCCAATCACGCCCATGTCTACTCCATTGCCGTCGGTTACAACTCTCTTCTCTGGATAGGAACTGAGTTCAACAGAAGAAGGCAAGATCTGAGTTTGGTAAGATTTAAAAATACTGCCCAGAATTTATCAGTAAAGTGGTAACAATGTCACTTTAAAACTACATGTAACTCAGCTCCATCACTTTGAACACCTGGACTGCTCTCCACAGAATATCATGATGACCAAACTAGTCTTTTAAAAAAAGCTGTGCAGTGAATATGTCAGTTTAAAATTAATTTCCAATGGGTAACACTCCACAGTTAGAACAAGCATACCAGTCAAAAGACAGCTTCATCTTTGATTTGAATGACTTCACTGTCTTGGTTAATTTTCCTGTCCTGATTCTTAAGTCTTAAAAAGAAAAATAAATTTCCAGAATATTGAAAAGGCGAGCACGAAATGGACTGTGATCAACTTACTACTTCCAGAGGTTTAACGTGCCTGAGCCTCCAAGAGTCATGAAGACATCACGGTTCTGTGGTAGGTGTCTGACCAGCCAAATGGTTGATTTGTGAGCCTAAAAAATGATCCGACAGTGAAAGAATTCACAGCAAGTTGACAAGTTATCATTTGACACCACAAGGGTGTGCTTTTTCCATCATTAACCAATATCAAAGCTTGACATAAAATAACAATTAATGTTTACCACAAATTTGCTAAATTTGTCAAACTTTGAACTGTTGCACCTCAGCACTTACAGAAAAATAGGAAAATTAAAACATTTTATATCATACAAGGTAATTAACCAAACATTTATGTACAGCTAAAACAGAAAACTCCCTTGGCGAAAAGAATCCACCAAGTTCTGCGCATGTACTTACATTTTCTTTGAGTGAAGCAAAGCCTTTTGTCGGATGTTGAGTGCGCATGTCAAAAACATGAAATGTTGATTCCAGCGTCGTAGCAACTAGTTTGTTCATATTGATGTCCTTCCGGTCAAACTCAACGGAGCACACCTGGAGATGGGCAACACCCACGATAAAATGTAAATAAAAACACCAACAATAACAAGTGAGGATTTCTACTCTTTACATCAAGACTTCCAATTTCTAAAACTGGAAGTTACACAGGCAGAACATCAATGTTTGTCTAAAGGATGACTAGGCAGAATTTGAAGGACACACTTCTTTTGATTCCATTCTACTCACCCCGTTCTTGATGTTAGTCTCCCACCGCAGGCTCATGTTCCGTAAGTCAAATAGTTTGATATCTCCATTGTCGTAGCCCGCTACTATGCACCTATCAGCCTGATTGTAGGCATGACCTGACACAGTAAAACAATTGGAATTCAGGATTTTTAAAATTCTTCCCCTTTCCAGTTTGAAGCATCAAAATCTCACTATGACGTCATTCACAAAGCACTGTTGGGGTCAACTTCAAAAGTCTGTAATTACAATTACACGTGATGTCTTCAAACGTACTTTGTTGTAATGCCAACATGAGGCAACATGTTTGTTTCCCTGCTTGGCCACAGGCCCATGTCAATGCTTCCCAACTGGCAATTTTTCGGAGAATAATATGAATCTTTACAATTTTATAAACTCCTCCCATCCTATCCCCCATCCCTTACAAAGGTTTCTAAAATATTCAGAAAAACTATCAACCTATTGAACCTACACCTCCATCCCAATGGTTTGGTCTCAAATATAAAGACAGCTTGGCCATAAAACCTGCACTGCATGCACCCCCTGAAAATGTGATACAATTTACAGAATGCAGGTGCATGAATTTAAATATCAGGCATTTACAACTGGCTGCTTTCCAACAAACTTGAAGCTCTGCAATCTTAAAACATGAGAAAACAATACCCCTTGAGTAGGAGATGAGTAGAGTCATAACTGCTCAACCAGGTACTGAAGATGAAGCTGAGCATGTGCTTTCAAAAGGGCAACACAGCTCAGAAGATTTATAAAATGAGTACGATGACTCAGTTTGAGTGCGAATGTAAACGGCAGACAAACTCACCAAAGGCCACCGTCCAGCAGTCTCTCTTTGTCTCTCCCTCGGCTGGCTGCATGTTGGCCACTGGGTCATCCTTCTGCCTGGGGTCCCAGACTTTGACAGCACCTGCGGTGGTAGCAGAAATGGTGAGAAGTCTGTTCAGATGCTAGAAAGTTGTAAGAATTAACAATTCATTCTGCCTCTGCCTGTGTTCTCAAATGCAGAAACAAAATAAATATGACAGGACTTGAGGCATGGTCAAGGGTGTCAGTCACTGCTGAAAAGTGGCGGGAAGTGGGAAGGGAGGGTGCGTAGTACCTAGAGTGAAACCAATATGAACATGAGGCACAAAGCCCTTTATCATGCGGGGTCAGGAGCCTCAAAATTTAGATAAAGCAATTTACCTTCAGTGGCCTCCCTGAAATCTACATACATGTATATAAACAAGTAACTCCTCCCAAATTTTTAAGCACCAGCATATATTTCTAAAGTAATCAGTCACACAGCTTGCTAGATTCAAAACTGCCACAGGATATGTCTGAGGCTTAGGCAGGTAAAAAAAAAACTGAAGTTTTGCAAATGTAGCTCGCTCCAGCTGGTGGACACAAACCCTTAACCACTAGTCGACAGGTGCAGCTGTCTAGATGACTCAACCAAAGCACCTGTGAAATTTAAACTCGCATGCAACTCAACCTGACATTCATAGTTTCTGCGCAAAATGTCACAAGTTGGACGAAACAATCACCACCATCAGAGTTACATGTAGTGACTCCCAACTGTGCATCACAAACTCTGCATGCAGAGTTAGCATTCAGGGCATTTCATGCTACCATACCATCTCTGCTTCCAGTGACAATCTCTGGTGCCCCCTCCCCGATTCCAAGACCCCCGACACCATCAATGCAGTTGATGATCTCAGAGTGACCCTTGGCTGAATACACGGGCATGTCAATCTTTTCCAAATTCCTACCAGAACAAAAAAAAAATTGTCCATAAAGTCAACCATATAAGTTTAGAAACGATGTTTCATGTTGATGATTCAAGTTGTGTTTGCTCTTTCCAATTATACAGTCTAATTTAATTGTGGGGTTTGATGCATGAAATCAGATGTAAAGTAAGGCATCATCTTCTGAAATTTTCAAATACACATGTAGTGCTAGAAAAAATTCAAAAAGTGATCATCTTTCACATCAGTTTGAGGAAGCTCACATACATGTATATGTACAACTTTACAATGACATACAGTGTACTACATTTTGTGTTGAAATCTTTATAAGTAAAAAAAAATTCAGCTGCACCATTTATTCCCGCAGTTCTTCAGTCATGTCAGTGCATCAAGTGGTTGCATATATTAGGTCATTTGCAGGTAACTGTGCCGGTTAAGTCTGCATTTGACTGGCACCTCATCCCACACGAAAATCAAATTAGACTGGCTGAGCAAAGACCGTACTTCTTCTAGTTGCTCAACTATTGTGAAAAGAAGCATTTCACTAAACTACAGTTTTGCAAAAATCCTTGGTGTTTTTGCGCAGAGCTTAATAAATCCTCCAAATTCCCTACTGTGCTCAAACAAGTGGTGCATTCTGTGTGGTTTCAAGTTCTTGGAAAAATAAATTCCACTAGATGAAGAAGTCTTTCTCCACCCTACAAAATCCTCCCAAATCTCTAGGTGGATTTTGGAGGATCTGCATGAGCAGACTATAAAGCATTGGCTTGTTCCTTCCTCTTACCATATTCGTAAATTTCCATCAAAATCTCCTGTTGCTAAGTGTCTCTGGTTAATGTGGGATGCTCCAAATGTGCCACAGCGAAATGCCTCTTTTTTCTCAGCCTAAATTAGAATGTGGAGTTAAGAAAATACATTGCAAGTATTCTACATTATCAATTTTGTGAATAAGAACAAAGAAAAAACTAATTATTTATCCTTTCTCCATTGACAAAGTAAATAATCATGCTCAAAACCTGGATGAAATAATTAATTGGGAATGGGTACTAGTCTGACCACATTTTTTAAACTAAGCAATTAACTTTCAAAAGTATAGGGTCCTCCTGAGGTAAAATTAATAGAAAAAGAAATTCTAACATGATGCCCGTGGTGCAGGACTTTCTACATTTCAAAGGTAAAGAGTTTCTTTAAATCGACATTTGCAACATTTTACAAATTTTGCCTACTCCACAAAAATCCCAACAAACATTGTTAATTTAATATACATGTACCACTCATAACTGGTCACAGAGATGATCTCAGCTGCTAACAATGTTCCTAGTGCTTGTAAATTTCATTTTGGAAAAGCACCATCATTTTGAACATGGGAGTGGCTGTTAAGTGCAATCTTTGAAAGTGTGCATATATAAAATTCGTGCAATTTTCCTTGAGCAATTTTTATTAGGTTGCGTATATTATAATTCTGCACAAATGACGTTGAGTGCACTCTTTGAATGTTTGCAATTTTTGTGCCTCAAACAGTGCAATTTTTAAAGGGTCATGCCGGCGGCGCCGGGTGCAGGAATTCCTGTTTCCATTCAAAGTCTCCAGCTATCTGGCACCAGTCAAGCTGGGAACCTGTTGCCTTGCGTAAAAACTAGGATTCCAGTACAAACTACTCGTAGTAGTTTTGGGGGGTCATTTCAAAATTCTTATTTCCCTTATTGTTACATGTACATGTAGTTATTTTCTCTGGGATCCTACATTGACATTTACATGTAATAGAGGGCCTGTGTGGAGGGCCTTCAAAGAGGACAGGTGTTTGTTCCTGTGTGATATGCTTGAGTAGGCTATAGTACTTCAATGTGGTATAAATTCAAATAACAAACATGTCCTCTGTGTTGGCACTCCATGCAGGCCCTATATTAAATGTCAACTGGGGACTCTAATGATTCTCATGAGGAATTTCTTTCAGAAGGAGGGGAAGTCCAAATTAATTGTTGACAGGGGAATTTAATTGCTCTCATATGGCAATATTCATCAAAATGCTCGAATGACAAATTTTTTCATGACTGGCCGGCCCAAGAAGTACATATCCCACGCTGTGTATGCAGCTGACACACGTCAAGCACGGAACAGACCTGACAAAATTCCTGCATGGTTGATGTCAGTCTCTTACATAGACTGACATGACATGTTCATGTACCCACACAATTTTTGTTGTTGTGTGCATTTTTTATAGCAATATCTGTGGTTGTGCAAAGTTTAAAAATTGTGCACACAAATTTTAAATTTGCAAACTTTCAATGACTGAGCTCAACACAGCTAAAACTTACAGAATCCAGGGCAATTGCTCTGCCGTGCCATGGCGAACATATACATTACATGATGTAGGGTCTAGTTCAGACATATCAGATATTGAAACTGACAACTGTAGCATTCAAATAAGCCTTATCGTCAATACTGCAAGGGTAATTTTGCACTAGTAGGCCTATAAAGGCATCACGGGAAGGAAAATGGGCAAACATTGCTTGTTTTCCCTTCCCACAATGCCTTTCCATAGTTGTGCAAAATCAGCCATGCAGTATTAACGATATGGTTTATGTTCCCCATGATAGGTTCGAACACCAGCCAGATTGCAAGTAATTGCAATAGATATTATTCTAGGCCTACCTCGTGTAGAAGTTTGACATCTCCGGTAGCCGACATTTCATAGATATGCAACGCACCGGTCTTGCGTGGGTGGTTGCCAAGCACGACGAAGCGAGCACTGCACGGAACCCATCTTGTATCGTACAGGGTGAAATTCAGTGACTTCTGAATATATGCAATGATCTGGGGTTTGTCTTCCATTGGGGATTGACAGATTTGGGGTTTTTCAACCTGAAAATAAAAATCAATTCCAGTAGTTTAACGTTTGAAAGCTCTTGCCGACGACATAAACCACAGCAGACCTAGATAGAGCGTCCTCAATAGTTTGCATTTAGTAAAAAAACTACAGAGGGCGCACTCCTTAAATTGCACTTTCTGCCATTCCGCATTGTCATGTTTTCAGCCGGCTGAAAGTTGGAACAGAAATTTCAGATATGTCTAGGGGAAGTAGTGCCGGGTTTGACCGTTTCATTACAGTCTTTTCTCCCGAAGGGAGGTTGTATCAAGTCGGTGAGTGAAAATGTTTGCTGTGCAATTTTTCAACCGGATTTATAAAAGTCTAGTTTCCGGACAAATACATGTAGGGGTGCATTCCACCAAATGGTTGTAGGCGCGCGAGTTCATTAATATTTTATGATCCCACGGGGTTTTTACAATAAGACATGCCGTAAGCAGGAGGCATCACTGAAATATTTCTATAAATCCCGAATTTGGGACTGATAGTTTCCAATTAGGGGTATTTCTTTCACAAAAGCCCCAAATTGCGGGCCTATTTTGGATAAAGGCGGGCAGCTACATTCAGAAACAGAGAAATGAGCACTTACATGTATGATGTAGGCCTTGAGAGTGAAAATTTTAGATTTTTGTCCACCGCCCGCATGGTCCAAAACACCCCTCCCGAAAAAGTTCAATATTTAAAAAAAAAATGATTATTTTCCAAAAAATGCAGGAATAAAAAATCCATTTCAAATCCAAAACCATACAGCCATGACAGCAGTAAAAGGGTCCAAAATGCGTATATGTACGCATACCTACCTACTACATGAATGATTATTCTGTGAGACTGTAATATGCATACAAGTAAAGCGCTGCCCCGGCCGCACAAGGCGGAGGAATACATTTACATTTGTAAGTATCCACCTAGCATGCGGACATTACTTTAATGTCCATGTACTACAAGTAATCCTGTTAGCACTGCGAGGCTGTGCAACTTCCATCCCGTTAAGCGTTGCATAGCGACTTGCCTTCCGGCCACTGCATCCAATCAAAACGTGTTCCGTTTGACAACTTGATGACCTCATTCGCCTTATATGGAATGTGAGGTTGTGGCTACTTGTGGCTGGCATGCCAATTATTGAACTGCATATGCATTAAGCTCAGTTGAATGTAGAGAGAATTTAGCAGGGTCATGTACCAGGGAACTACATACTTTCATCGCACTTGGCCACTCCACGCTCCGCACACTGACATATACGAGAAATAATGAATAATGAAAAAAGCCTCATGTTTTTCAAAATGTTCTGGACGCGAATGTAAAACTTTCATTCTCATGGCCTTAATTTTACTGCTATTTTGGGGGTATCTTCCTTGAAAGGTGAATGAAAAAAGATTCCCCCATGAAATAGAAACAAAAAGTGATCTTCTGGCCATAATCTTGAATTTCCAGCAAAAAAACGAAGGCCAACCTTTTTACGAAAGTCAACGGGTGGCGCTGTTTTAGTCTGATTTTGCACTGTTTTCTATGGGGCGCGTATTTGGTGTAGTGCAACCCTAGTGAGGGCCCGTAGCCCTGGACTGGTGCTGGCAAGATTGGTGCAGTGGTCAGGTGGTAATAATTATTTGTATGGGTGCTGCTGGACTACCTTCCATGTTTTACAGTCACTTTGTCCCATTTCCACGTCACCTCTTACCACTTCTCCCCATCGCCACTTCAATTCGTCCCATACCCACATCGCACCAATCACAGTACATGTACACTTGCAACATGTGAAAAGCAACTTCTAATAATATCACAAGTACTCTTCGTGTTTCGCTGTCGCTGCAAGGTAAAAACACTTGTGCAAAGCGCTGATTCCTGCCTCACCATGCCCATCCAAAAGAATGCGTGATGGAGTGTGGGAACCAGTCTATTTATCCCGCAAGTACCATACATGTACGTAACCTCACATATCAAAAAACATTGACGTTGCAAGATTTCTTCAAGTTAATTCACAGAACTTAGTATCTTGTCTGTGTATTTTCTGTGTTCATGAGTTTAATTTTAGGATGTTTTGCTTGTATTTGAAACGAGCATACTGTGTTTCCACAAAATTTCCTGCTGTGGCGCACCAAGGTTTATCCGCGCCCGGGCACCTACTGGACACATCAACAATTACCAGAACAATGTCTACAGAAGGATGAGAAATGAACCAAATGTTAGTCCAGCCATATGTATTACCGTTGACAACGCAGGTGACAATTAATTTTGTGAATGTTGTAGTGTTGTCTATTTGGCCTTCACGTGGAACTCTTCTTTCGACCAGTTTTTGAAGAGGCCTGTGCTTGTAACACACTCGAGCATAGACGGGGCATGGAAATGGGGCAAAGTGGCGATTGGGTGAAGCGGTTAAATTTTGTCACCAATTTATTAAATCTTAGTTATTATTATACATCGTATTAAAAGAACAGGGCCATCCTCTAATTTAGCTAAATAAAGATCAACTTCAGTATGTGAGCAATGAAAATGAAGATCTTGTCCAAATGATTGTTATGAGGCTACCTGTACAACCTCTGGTTATTATTCAGTAATTAACGGCAATAAAATTAATGTTAGACAAGTACGTCGCTCACCCCCCTACCCCCCCAAATAATTTGCAGTACCAAATAAATCACAAAAAATGAGAGTTTGTGCCATTAAGCAAGGAATCCATCGAACTATAGAGTCCCAAAAGGGAAGCCAGAAAAATCCATCTTCAAGTGGCAAGAGGCTATTTCTTTGTACATAACAAGTATAGATTGGCCATAATAATACTTCAAATAGTTTTGTATATGATTTGCAACTAATATGGCCTATTTTAATACCACACCATGCGACGAAATTCCACTAAAAATCACTTCATGACACGTGGCATGCAATTTGCGTTGTGCAATCGCTGAAATCATTTTTGGCCGAAGCGTTCAAACTTCGTACAATTTCATAAATTTCAACAAAAAATTAATATATGTACAGCAGGCCTTGTGCTAACTTTTTTCCTGGCTTGCCCACTGGGCTAGTTAAATGGATATTTACTTGCCCATTTAGAGTTTTACTAGCCCGTATAAAAAAAATTTTAAAAACCCGAAATTTGTTATCAGCTTGCCAATACAGAATTTGACATTTCAGAAAATAAAAGGCTGATGGTATAAATAAATAAAGAGGCATTTATGTTAGTTAAAAGTCACTGGAGTCACTGGTCATGGAGCCGGGATCAAAATTATCTCTTTGTTCCATCTTTCCTCTCATTTGGGTTGCTTATGTTTGGCAAAAAATAATACTTTTTGCTTACTTTCTGACCTCTGCACGTGCGCAGTGAACAAGAGAAAACTTTTTCCAATCAGAAGAGGGTGCTGTTTGCACGCGACTTTGTGTATACTTCGTATCAAACGCTTTCTGGCTGTAGTCAGTTAAGGTCAGGAAAATTGATTAGGCCCCCCCCCAAAAAAATACTTCTAGTTTCGGTTTCCCGACCGACCCTTACTTTTCGGCGCAACCCTAAAATTTTTATCGGCAAGTTAGAAAAAAACAAATTAAATTTTTTTTTCTAAATTAAAAATTAATGCCAATGTCTTTTCTGTCTTCACAAAACACCTTTCAACAACCCTTTCTCATGTTAAAACGCTTGTTTTTATATGTTTTCCTACTTCATTTGCAAGTTTAGAAAAGAAACTTCTGTCATTTTCACGAGTTCCACTTGCGTTTCGCAGTCACTTAGTGAAATTTTGTGCGTAAAGCTCATTGCATGAAAGCAAAGCTGTGCTGGTTCCCACCATGTTGCGCCCATGCAAAAGAACGCGTGATGGAAATGTGCTAAACCAGTCTTTACGTTCCATTCGCAAGTCGATTAAAACTACATCGGTGTTGTACACCCATGCAGCCATACAGCTGCAGGTCGAAAAAAAATCGATGTTGCAAGAGGATTTCTTCAGCGTAATTCACAGAACTTGGTCTCTTGTTTATGTATTTATTTTCTGTGCTCACGATTTCCTGCCGGCACGCGGTTTATCACCCGCCCTTCTGGATGCATGACTAGCATTGTGTGATTTGTCTGTAATTCTTGTGATTTGTCAACTGCAGAAATGTTTACATATATCAAGACTTATTTTTATCACAGTTTTAGACAATTTTTGAAAGCTTTTATCCCCATTCAGGTTATTACATCAGCACAAAAAATTGACCAAACAAAATTCCGACCTACCAATACAATTTTTGAGAGGCATGTAGTCGGAAGCAGAAGTGACCTAAACAGTTAACGAGAATAGTGCACACGTGCGGTATCGCACTCTGTTCCTGGCATTCACGGTCGCTTATCGCCCTGTTACGCAAGCATCATGTTTCAAAAACCCAAGTAAAAACACATCCACAATGACTCAGTTTCTGAGATCTTGTATTTATCAACCTGCAAAGCATTGTTTATTTTGATCTAAGTTTTAACAGGTAGGCAGGCTTATTCTGAATTTTTCACTAGCCCACCGGGCAACCAAGGAACCAAGTATAGGTAGCCATGGTAGCCCGAAGCATTTTTTGCTAAAATTTGTACGCCGGGCTAGTAATATTTCGGGGCCTGTACAGTACTTTATGAATTCTAGGGTTTTATATTTGATTTTCTAATGAAGAATATTTTAATTCAGAGAAAATTAGTTCATAAATAAGAATTCCAATAAATTAAAAAGTGGATCTTACATAAATTTTGACTTGACTGTTTCAACTGTACAGCGAGCTGCATGTGTCAACGATACTTTCCCCCATGCCACACCATTGATAAACCCATTATATCATGTACATTTCTGCTTGTATGTCTGTACATGCACATGTACATTGTAAGTTAAGTTCGCAACGTATATTGCATAATCCAAAACTTTGGCCAGTTTTAATAAAACGTTAACTCTAAAAGTCATTTTGAAAAACAGACATTAGATGTAAATGTTAATTTGTTTGTAGAGTTTGAAAAAGTACCATATTTGGGATCACATGTACGTGTAGTTGATGAGATATCGCCTTGGAAATATTTGTTGATTTTTTTCAATGATTTCTGATGAACTGTTTCTGATTAAAGTGTGAATCGGAAGTCTGGCCAAAATTTCTTTTCTAGAAATTTTCCAAGAACAATTTTTGTACAAAAAGAAGCTTGCATTTCACCTTTTAAATTGAACTTGTCTGAAAATGTAGAACTGAAGAACACAAAGGAGGTAGGTTATTATTTCATGCAATCCGGAACTAGGAAAAATTTGATACTAGGCCTACGTTGCTAGGTCAGCGCATGTGCAAGATTGATAGATTGATCACGCAAAGATCAACTTACTGCCTGAGTAAACTAGTTACACGTACTCAGCGTGCTCCACGTCAAATGCACATATACTTGTGCGCCTCATGGTGCACCTATGCGGTGAGTACCAAAAACCACGCCCTCTTTTGTTCTGCTCAGAGCGGATAATGTACATGCATGTCCTTATGCCCTGCTCAGTGCTGGCAAAGCTGACAGGGCTGCCGTGTCTGATTCTTCTTTTTTCATGTCATGTTTTCTAAAGCCCCCCCCCTCATCCAATTATTTTTAAACAGGTCCAGAGTTTTGTATCCAGCCATATTCTCAAACTTGCACTTGGTTTTCAAGCTTGAGACTCATGGTGGGCGGGGAACACTTTTCACTCTGAAATTTGGAAGAATAATTTAATATTGTGATGCAAACTTGTTGGTGAATCTTAAGGAGAGTAAAGTTTAAACCATTAACAAAAAAGTATGCTCATGGTCAATGACTTTTTTTTGCAATCTTTTTCAGAATATGCCTTCAAAGCCATCAATCAAGGAGGGATGACATCAGTTGCTATCAAGGGAGCCGATAGTGCTGTAGTTGTAACCCAAAAGAAAGTTCCTGTAAGTCAACCTTTTCCCACTCTTTTGATTCACATGCAACCTTCCAGTTCCAACCTACCTTGCAAATTCCAGTTTCACCAAGATTTAAGAAGACCTGATGATTTGGGTAAAAAATACCGGTAACATGCAACTGAAAATTTTAGAAATAGTCTTGTTTTAGGTGTAGCTGAACTTTTCTTCAAAAGACACGAATGCAAAGATTTAAAAAAACATCGCTGAAGTTCAACATGATCCAGCAGAACTTATCCCAACTGTTGGACCTTGTGGATTTTGGGATCCCACTTGTACAAAAGTTTAGAATACCTGACTCTCTGCCCAATATAGTGTCAACGTGAATAAATTCTAGAAAACTCTGTTTACAGGACAAGCTCCTGGATGCGGACACTGTCACCCACGTGTTCTCTATCACTGAGCATATTGGATGTGTCATGACTGGCCTGATAGGTAACGTTCTTCCAGTGTGGTTTGAATGTTGAGTAATTTCATCTGCCATTAGTATGTGTATCTGAACATTGCTTTCACATGGCCAACATCACAGCCATTGTTTCCATCTCATCTGACTATTAGACCATTTTTATCATTGTAATTATCATTTCGTTATCTGAATCATCCTTATTTTCGAAATCATTATAATAATTTTTGTTTTTTTGCGTCAGTCTAATTTTCATCATTTCATCATTTTCAGTTAATCAGTTTGTATTTTTCCTCTTTGTCCTCATCTAAATCATCTCGATCTGTAGTATCAATTCAATCATTTATTCAGTTAAAGATTTTCCTGCTGATATTCGGATTATCTTCCTCATCTTCTTTAGCATCATCTTATTGTCATCACCGCCTCCTTCGCATCTTCGTTTTAGTTGTCCTGGATGTCCTTGTTATCACTGATCTCTTAACAGCAGTGCTTCCTGTCATTGAATTAAATTCCTTTTCACCAAACTTCAGCTGACAGCCGGTCCCAAGTATTCCGAGCTCGTTATGAAGCGGCTAACTTCAGGTACAAGTTTGGCTATGAGATCCCAGTTGAGATGCTATGTAAACGGATAGCCGACATATCCCAGGTGTACACACAGAATGCACAGATGAGACCGCTTGGCTGCAGTGAGTAGTCCAGACTGATTGCCTTGCAAATACTATGCTGAAATCTAATTTGGGGTCCCTTAGATTAGTTTTTACAGATTTGTAAATAATAACTTGGGCTATCTAGCAGTGTAAATATTGAATTGAAGTTTGGCAAATAGCATTAGAGAATGTAATCATCTTGAGGAAATTGGTGGTTGCTTATATATTTATTAATAGCAGTTGGAAATGTCCCCATTGGCTGTCTTTATTCAGGATTCAGCTTGTCTTCTTGCTCAGTTTTATACACGTTCAGTATCTGGTTCAGAATCCCATGGGATCCTGCAGCACATAATTAGTTGGGGGGTAGTCAGCCTGAACAGAGAATGGCAGACTTCTTATTCCTGACATCAGATCTTTGTGCATTGGACAAGCTTCACTTAATGCTGTTATTGAGTTTTGCTTGTGACTATTTGAAAACTCATGGGCTGAGTAAAGTCTGCAAACTCTTAGTTTAATCCAGTCAATTTTTTTTACTTTTTTGTTTTGTTTGTGAAAGGTTCTTGTGAGTTAGAATTGCTTTTCCTTGTTGAAACAAACGTGGCAGACAATTTAGTCAGTCGTCATGTCAGTGCAACAAGGTCGTATCTCTTGTACAAAACAAATACCAGTTATAACCTTGTTTCACTGACATGACACGATGTAATCATAAGTCAGTCATAAGCCATGCTAACATGGAGATAGGAAGGTAGAGATTGTAGCCAACCCTTGGAATTTTACGTCTTCCACAAGAAGTGAAAATGTCAGTAAGATTTTTTCCAGAAAATAAAGAGTAGCATTGTCTGTTTCCATCAGGTATGATTTTGATTGGTTGGGATGACGAGGTGGGGCCACAGGTTTTCAAGACAGATCCTGCCGGCTATTACTGTGGTTTCAAGGCCACTAGCGTCGGGGTTAAACAGACGGAGGCCAACAGCTTCCTGGAGAAGAAGATCAAGAAGAAATTAGACTGGACTTATGATCAGACGGTGGAGGTGAGGACGTGGTCACGAGGCATGGGAAGCCACTGCCGGTTGTCTGTGGTTTACTCTGCGTTGATCAGTTGAGATTGTTGACAGTACTAGGACGTAAACCTTCTGATTTATTAAGCTTGTACCTTCCCCTCAGATCAACTGATTTCCTCCTGTTTTACTTCCCACACTTGTCATTCATGAATGGAGAAAAAATATCCAAGCTGTTGTACAGATGTTTCACTTCTCAGACTCCCTACTTGCATGTCTGGAATTCTGGAGAGGTGTCTACGATTGTGGCATGCAGTGTTTCCTTGGATCAGCCTTTTTCATGTTTCACTTCTAGTCGATGAAATGCCATTAAGAAATGAAAAAAAATACATGTACTACAAAGTCTCTGCACTTGGGAGTGTCCTCTTTTTTTAATTCCCAGTTGCAAGCCTTAGATTGCCCCCCCCCCCAAAATCTTTGGAGACTGTGTGAGTGTTGCTGAGTGGTTCAGGCTCATAAATTGGGTCGTTGGTTGCCAGACAGTTTCCTAATGTTGCATTATAATTTCTTCCCAGACTGCCATCAAATGCCTGTCCTCAGTTTTATCGGCGGATTTTAAGCCCTCTGAAATTGAAGTCGCCGTAGTCAGTGATGACAACAAGAAGTTTAGGTAGGCATTTCAAGACAAACAAGAATGTGTTCAAACTTTAGAGCTTGCTGAGAGGTAGCAACATGTGCTTTGCTGGCACTCGGACCCACGGACACAATTAGCACTACTTTCACAAGGCTGTGAGACTAGCCAAACAAGTTCTGTTGCTTTACACTACCTAATTTAGTTTTAAAAACCAGCTGACATATTGCATATCATGCCAGTCAATCAACCAGGCTGTATTTTATTTCTTTGTAGAGTCCTTTTTCCTCCACCAGTTTCAACCTAACGGAATGACTTGATCCAATCAATGTCTTACACCGACATTGGCTCATAGCCTTCAACACATATCCAGGCAATGAGTACTACTCACTTAAAGGTATATATCGTTTTGTAACAATTTGTTTTACTTCTTCCTTGTAGGGTATTAACGGAGGCAGAAATTGACTCTCATTTGACAGCACTTGCAGAGAAGGATTGATGAAATTGGTCATCTCTCCATTAGCTATCTCCAAACAAATCAAGCAGTCATCAAGAAATTCATGCAGCACCACACTTTCTTTTGTATCCAGTGTAACTGGTCTAAGTAGCCTATGTTGTAGTCCTCAAATTTTTTATGTTGACAGTCTGTTATTAAGGGCCATTTGTGACATTTGCAGCTTTCACTAAGTTTAAAGCAAGTTTTTCAAATCTTGAAGATAACAGAGAACTGTTGTAGCTGCGTAAGGATCCATTGCTTTGAGTTGGCCCATGGTAATGCATTTTCCAGCACAAAAAGTAAGCACAACCTAGACAGAACAACAGGATTCTGTACCTAAAAAACTGTGCTCTTGGTCTCTCTGAATTTCATCAGCAAAATCATTGTACATGTAGTTGATTTATAGATCTGGAAAAAACATTGTTTTGTTACTCTCCTTTGAGAACCACTTCTTCGGATCAGTTGTAATCACAGAAGTGAAGGAAGACTTCTCTTTTCTTCTTGTGTTTTTTTCCCGCTTTTATTTCCTTCAGTTGCTGGTATGTTTGTCTTGCACACAGTATAGGGGTGTAAATGGGGAATGCAAGGGCGTTTAGGGGAGGGAACTATAGGGGCCATGCCCTGTCCCCCAGAAAATAAAGAAGAAGCACAAAATTTGGGGGGGGGGTGAAACATAATGAGCCACAGGAAACATTTCACTAGATTTCATTTCCACTTCTTCCAAATGCAAGTGTATAAAGCCCTAAAATGTGGCCTCCACTCTCAGACAGGCTATAAAAGGTTATGTAAAAGTGTTTCATTCCCCCCCCCCCCTTATTCCCCAAAGTAATTTTGCATCCCACCCCCAAGAAGTTCTAGATCTGCCCTCAAGAAAATGTCATCAGCTTGGAATCTGAAGATTGGTTCTAAGCCTTTGCTTTGTAAATGTCTCTCTTGCAAGTTTTGCACACCACAACCTCAGGCAGCCGCCTTGGCCAAAAAAAAAATAACTCAAAGAGAATTTTAACATGCTGTGGTGTGGTGTACACATGTATTTTTTAATACACCATACAAGTAAGAGAGCCCTGAAATGATACAGTACTCTACCTCTTAAAGCAAGCAAAGAAGGTGCAGTTGAGTTAAGGAGCATTTTGGATCATGAAGGGTGGCTTATACATCTGTATAAATCAATGGCAGTCCACACACTACAGAAGACTCTGGTTTGTCATGCTGTATTCTGAATCTCATACCATGGTTGCTTCACCCGAAACAGGAATGGCCCACAGGTGTAATAACTGAGTGATTTCAAAGCCAGATTTGTCTTGAGAGGGAGGAATAGAACCAGTAAATTTCTGAGTTTTCATTAATTTAAGTATTGTCACTTCAGGAAAAAATCAACAGTTGTGAATGAGAAACCTAAAAAATGTTTCTTTTCAGACTTGGTTTATAATTTGACAGTCAAATTCAATAAAAGTTACTACATGTAATTAAAATGTGCTGATGGATTGATTCCTTTATGTTTTTACTATCCGTAAACTTTTCCAATGTTGCAAAAATTCTTTGGAAAATGATTGCATTGTGTAATTTTTAGGGGTCTTTTTTACACGTAGCCTGTGAACAAAAAAAAACTTTTAATACAGTGTTCCAGAGCTTGTGGGGAAAGATTCAACTTTAAACCAGAAACAGGAGAGTTTGCTGCATTCCCTGAGTGAGGCTACATTATAGGAGAGACTATTCAAAAGCAGTACTGAACGATTGAATGCCAGGGAGTGAAGCTGGACAAAGCTAATCGAACCCTCAAGCATTCCACAAAAGTGAAGGAAATTTGCGACGAGCTTGAACGGTTCAAATCATTGGCAAGTTAATGTTATTCTTGTAATAGAAATTAAATCAGTAACGAACAGAAGGAACTGTAATCCTTTAACCTTGAGATTGGAACCAACACCGTTTGGGCTGGCGATCTTGTGTAAAGTTTGAAAAGACGTCTTTCCACGGCTACTTTGGGAACAAGGGTTGAGTTATCAAATACGTAGACAGATAACTTTGACCTTGTGTGTTTCAGATTTCGGCCCGATTCGCTTTGGCAAGCAAACGCCTCTTATTCCTTGGGTACTCTTTTTCAGTATCTCCACAGTATATGGGTTTTGGATGGCTTATCTAGGCCTATCTCTAGAACCCTGTGTTCTAGCTGTTGGGTTCCTCTTAGACGTGACTCAAGTCGGGATCTCTGTGACATCTTCGTTTCTGCTGACGTATCGGGACAGCGCGCCGTTGCTTCGCGCCCTCTTTTGTCCTCTTATTACTATGAGTTCAGTTTGGAAATCCCGACTTGACGAATCCGCCAATCGTTTGTGGTAGCAGCCAATCATGTTGCCGGATTTGTTTTTACGTCGTTCATATCTGCATTACAATAAATGAGTCTACACGTTCATATCTACATTATTACGAACGAGTCTGCAAGTCTGACTACTTTGGTGGAAATTCCGTATCATTATGCAAGATCATGTCGTTCATATGCAATAATTAATAACTACGTATCACCGACGGGGGTCCGCTTGGCTTCTCCGTCAAGTAAGACTTACTGATTAGTGACGTATGACACACGTTATACAATAAAGGCTATCAAATGAGGGCCCCTTATAATCAAACAAGAAAATGACAACTTCTTTGCTACAAAAACGAGGGGCCCAGGGACAAAATTACTTGAAGGCAGTGTTGTAGTCAAGTCACAAATGTCTAGCCCGAGTTCGCCGAGTCCCGAAGCTCAAGTCTCGAGTCCAAGTCTCAAGTCAAAACCTCGAGTCCGAGTCACAAACCTCGAGTCCGAATCACCGTGGTGGAGTCCGAATCCGAGTCATTGTAATGTGACTCGAATCGAGTCTGAGTCGATCATGAAAAATGTGATTCGAGTCCGAGTCCTGCACTCAAGTCATACAACACTGCCTGGAGGGGACATAATAACCTGGTGGGGAACAGATTTATCGGGCCAGGGGGACACTTTTACCTAGGAAATTCTGTCCCCGGGACAGTTTTACCGTGGGACAGATTTAAAGTTTACACCGGCTGGGCCGAGCGCGACGGCGGCCAACACGTACCGGCTGAAGGGATGGCTGACTAGGGAAAAGCAACGTAACTTCCGACTTGATTCAAGTCTAAGTTCCTCTTCAAACTCAAAGGCCGAGTTCGGGCGGTCCGTTCTTGACACGGATTTCGTGTTCTCGCGCTCGAACGGCGGGAACAAGACCCAAGAACACTGTTCTCGGAATAGGTTCACACACCACCTCCTCGTCAGGATTTCACACAAACACACGGAACTTTAAGCTCGTGAAATTTGACGACGACAATGGAAAGTTTTGACAGAAATGAATTTTTTTTAAATGGAAAAGAAGTTAGCCCAGTTTTCCAGCATTAACTACCGAAGCATGCACAAAGACGCTGCCATGTTCAAAGTTGCATGTTGCTTGCCACAAATAAATACTTGTGTTAATAACTTGTTGTACATTCCCGGCGTTCGAGCGACCGACCCACGAACAACAAATCGAGCTGTTCGTGAACAAACGAGAACAAGCCGTCCGCACTCAGCCAAAGTATTCACGGCTCTTAATATGGGCACTGCATGCGTGTCAACGAACACTTGAGAACTTCTTGCCCGAAGAAGATGGAAACATCACTGCTCGCAGTGAAATCTCAGATGTCTTACACGAGCGATTGCCAGTCTAATCCCCCCTTTTTTCATGGATCACATCACCAGTTTAGTCAGTTCCGAAGCCTTGAAGGAGACCAGTCTCCCATCCTCACCTTTCCTGCCAAAACCCTACGTATACAATCGTTCAATCGACCTACCTCATTAATCTGTGGTCATCCGGGCACATCGTGTACGTGTGGGGTATAAAAGCGTATCGTAACCAAGCAACGACAGGCCTGCTATTTATCAAGCCGTACCCCCCAAAACACACACCGCACAATGGCGTAACAAAAGGGCTTTACTCCATAGAGGTTATGTCCCACATTACCCGGTGTTACAGCCTGTTAGGGTCCACCTATTAATGACATCAGGTACCAACGTTTTACCCCCGAATCAGTCGTTTTCTAGTTGTAGTTTTATTACAGAGTACCCGTCATGACGACAAGAATGGCTATGAGATCGCCTTCGGTAGAACCGGGAAAAGTCCACCCAAGTCAGCCGCTCCATCTCGACAACAGGTGAGTGGAGATTATTAACTCGTGATTTTGGACGTGAAGATGTCCAGGTGCTGTACATCTTACTGGGGCCTCCCGTATTGCAGTACGTACATATCCTCCCATCGAAGGTTGAAGCGAGCCGACACCAACATTTAGACGTCACCGTTTAACTTTTATTCGGTTAGCAATGTAACGATGAACAAAACAGACCAATAAGTTAATCAGTTTATGTAAAGTTGCCCTATTTCGTACTTGCCGCGTCATTTTACCACACACCGGCACATACATGTACACTGTACATGTTCTGTCCGTCCTATGTCTTTTAATTAGCTCGATAACCTGAAATCTTCATGTAGTCTCAAGTGAGTGTTTTTCCAAGTTTGGTAAATTGTTAATAAACTTAGCACCATGAATTAAAAGAGGTACGCGTACCACCTTAAGAGCACATTTAATTCTGCGTGAACATGTTTGCTTTGACTTAGTTAACTGTTTCATTTCTTTCGAATTCACCGCCATTCTGTGGCTGTGATATGCACTTTTTCCTCCAAAAAGAGTTATTTTTATGTGACATTTTATTTGTTTGTTGCCTAAACGATTTCAATACGAACTCTCTTCTGAGTTGCACGAAAACCTGTCAGACCCAATAGTCAGCAAAGTAACGAGAGCGTATTATCATCACGTAGTGATACCTGAAACGCCGACGCTTTCTAATCTACCGCTTCAGATTTACAGTCGTTGTAGGAGGTACAGGGCATGACCCTGGCAGTGCCTGATGTATAAAGCCCAGTGGTGCGCGGCACTGTAGCGTTTTATCACTGGTCTGTCAAGAGTGATAAATGTTTGGCCGATTATTTCCGACAATAACATGGAACCATAAATACCAGACTTGTCAGGCCATGTGTCCACGGTGAAAGCAGCGGGACAGAGCTAACTCAAGATGACGGGAGTGGGGGAGGGTGATCGAAGATAGGGAGAATGTTGCTGGCTTGTATCTGGCTGATTTGCCTTCACTGTATTAACAGCCATTCTAGTACTGTACACGCACATGATGCAAAGATAAATTGGTACACCATCCACGTATGCATATCCACAGACCCCGCTCCCCCCCAAAAAACCTCTGAATTTACCCCACAGTTTTTACAGCAAAGGGATTAAATCAGGAAAAGGTTACATTTGTCTTTAGTGTTCCTTGACATTTCAAAGTAATGCAGCGAACTCGGAGTGCAGTACTTCAAAAAGCACTCTTTTTTTCATTTTCCTCTTCAGTATAACCTTTCCTTCGGATGTTTGGACAGGAGACTTCTAGCAACTCTTAACATTTTGTTCATGATAGCTCGCCTTCTTTTTCAGAATTGCATATGGAAATTTACCGCGCTGGATAGTAGATGGTATGGATGTACCAAAAGATGTCCGGATCTCGCAGATGTCGTACGCTAAGGAATTGCGAGCTGTGAGTTTATGTTCTGTATATTGGCAACACTCTATGTAACAATATCGCGGGGAGCAGCCAAAGGAAGGACTAGGACAACAGAGACTCTTTCCGAATTTGCTTTAAAGTGTAGCTGCAATGAACTTTTCTTCAGAACAATTTTCCGAATTTGCTTTAAAGTGTAGCTGCAATGAACTTTTCTTCGGAACAATTTTTCTGAATCTCTGTAGTTTTCTTCTATCAGTGCATGAAAATCTTTCCAAACTCCTATTTGGTTTAATGCACTGAAAAGTACACTCTTTTAAACAATAAAAATTATCCACGTTTTCCCGGACAGTTGAGGACGCTGTTGCTGTGAAGTCATGTAGAGAAGACATGACTCGGTGCATAGGTATTTTGTTCAGATTGTGAACCCAGAATTTACTAAGTGATAACATTTCTTAAAGAGGGACTGATAGTTTCTTATTGCGATGCACATAAACAGCAATTAATCAGCAAAGAAGAGATAACTGAGTCCAGGAAAATCTACAAAAGCGCAGGACTTTTTTTGTGTACAAACCAATGTAACATTGAGGCTTCTTCCTCAGATGACATCACAGTTTTGCTCATGAAAAAGGAAATACTCATTAGCATAAAACCAAAAAGGCATCAAAATACCCTTTCAAATAGTGAAACCAAAGTTGGAAATAAAGTTTACTGAAGCAAAAAGGTGCGTTTTACAGGTTTTTACTCAAAAACATTGATTGCAGCTACCCTTTAACTTTTTGTTATAACAATGCTATTTATGTGTAGCTAGTCGACTAGATTATTGTCATAGTGTAGTCGATCGGTCCTGGCCAAAATTTGAGAACGCCAAACTGAAAAACAGACAAAATATTTTTTCCCACGTAAGTGAATTCCAGGGCCAAGAAGTCAAAGGCAGTCGTTTTATAGAGGAAAAAATAATTGACCTATAACCTGCCAAATTCTTCAGCTTCAGTGAATGAAATCAGTCATAAAAATGTTTGCAAAATGGTCGAATATCAGCGACAAGTAATAGCTGTAGATCATAGAGGTTACTTATGATAAATGATTTGCTGTCTTCGTTATTTCTGATAAATAATTTACTTTTTTTTACAGAACCCACCCCTCTATGCTGGTAACAGTACCGGCATCATTCGATCAGCTCCTCAACCACGTCCCGACCCCTTGGTCAAACCTCACACCCTCAAGACCCCCTGGGCCGGGGAGGGCGATGACAGATATACCGCATACAGTAAGGAAAAATGACCGCAGTGTTTCTGATTTTCTGTACCATCTGCTTAGGAAACTCTACGGGTCGGTGAGAGTGACTTGATATTATGACGGAGCTATAAAACAGAGCTCCGTGATTACAGGCCTATAGCGTCATCGCTAGTTGTTATTGAAAACGGACTTGGTATCCTTTTCTTCTTCTTCATTTATGGGATTTTTTTATTCCATCCATCGGCCAGTTAGTCGATGAATCTGTCAGTCAAGCGGCGGCTTTATTACTGGGCCATCGAGACTTGAATCGTGCATTTGATCATAAATGGATGGTAAGACCGCTGTTCGCAGAGAGAGCGGAAATAAGAACCCGTGCTGAAAGAAGTCTTGTCACTTAATTCATTGCTGGCTCCAGCGTCTTACTCAAGAAACAACGGCTTTGGCGATAGGCTAACCGGTCCGTAGCTTTTAAAAAGTGCTAATTTCCTGCATCTCATCTGCTTCGTACATGACTTTTTTTCCCAATCAGTCTCGAGGAAGCAGTCTGAACCGAACTTAACCGACTCCCCCTACGCCTACTCCGCCTCTCATCTAGGGGAGCAGCCCAAGCGATCTTGGAAATACAACGTGTACAACACACACGCCAAACAGGGCTTTAAGTTTTGGTTGGAGGAGAAGAAACCTATTAACAGTAAGTGGAACTCGGGACCTGATTTGAAAGAGGGTTCGTTTTTAAAGTAAAACTAATCTACCTTCCTGACTCAATAGGAAGGTCTTATACGTATACATGTAGTCTTCTGAGCGGTACGGCCGTTCTTCAGTTGCTTGGGATCTCTTGCTGCAGTCGTGCGGCAACACATTGGTGGGAGAGGTCCAGCCGAATGATCTCGAGTTTAATTTCCATTTGAAACTTTGAAATCTTTAGCCACTGCAGGATTCGCAATGATAACACAGTTTAAGTATATTTATATGCATGACAAAGAAAATCTGAAATGAATCTCAATCACAGTGATGGGATGTTAGTGTAGTCTTCCCCATCCCTACTAAAGTTTACCTCCTCTGTGGCTTAGAGCATTTTGTCAGACCCTTCAACTTAATTGTTTATGTGTGCAGGTATCACAAAATCCCTCTTCTCTGCTTTCACTTTCTGCAGAGTCACAGAAATACACCTTTGGATCGACAAAAACTTTCCTGGGACTTGGAAATGGACCGAGAAATTAGCCAGAAAATCTACTACCGATTACTCCTGATTTGTTGTTATGAAATTTCATTAGTTACTTGTGAACATTTAATGAAGAAAAAAGATGAGAGAAGCTTAAGGATGGAACTCTTCATGGTTGAAAGCAGGCTTTGCGACCGTGGAACATGACTGAACTCCATCCGTGACGTGACTACATGTATTTTGAGATAAAGCACGTCTTTTGGGTGTTGCATGAGATTTCTTCTTATTTAGATGCTCTCTTCTGGCTTGAAGCAAGGGTTGTGACGTCGGCTATCTGATAGATACGGACCCACGATTTGTGTTCAAATGGTTCCATGACGCTGATCTGAATGAAATCCCTCGCTGGTTCACTGAAATTATCAGAATCCGCCTACATTTGTGCATTAGGTGGAGTGGACCAGAGTTGGGACCACCGATCGAAAGATCCAGATCCGCGTGACACAAACAGCGGGCCAACAATCGAGATTACTATTTTTTGGGTTATCCTCTTTTTCGAAGTTATCGTGATATCGTCAATAGCCACTTAGTCTGTTTTTCTGTATAACTTGCTTGACGATTTTCGATGAGGTTCCTAGATGAGCGCACCTGCCACTACAAAGTTATCTTTTTTAGGGCCTCGGGTGCTACCACAGGCTTGCTTATCTGCCCATGTTTCGGTTAGAGTTCTCAGACGTTGGCCTCGTGGCGCAATGGTAGCGCGTCTGACTCCAGATCAGAAGGTTGCGTGTTCGAATCACGTCGAAGTCACTCGTATTTTTGGGCTTTCTAATTTGGGGGGGGGGCCGTTGTTGAATCAGTTTGCGAACATATGGATGATTACCTTCAGGTATGACTTCAACCTCAAGGTAACGTAAGATCATGAAGAAAAACGGTGGCGCGTAATATTTCTTCTTTTTCATAAAACATGCCTTTTGGATGTTGTATGAGATTTCTTCTTATTTAGATGCTCTCTTCTTGCTTGAAGCAAGGGTTGTGACGTCGGCTATCTGAAAGATACAGGCCCACGCTCTGTGTTCAAATAGGGAAGGGGTACGCAAGAATGAGATGAGTTGCCCCTCTTCCCTCTCGTCATCTTTCTGTCAAAAATTTACCGGTGGGCACACGCACCCTTACAGCTTGCAATAACGTGGCGTGCATTTTTGGGTTTTTTTGCTATAAACCTTGTTGCGGCGCGTCGTGCGGTGAGCGTGAAATTCATTGCAAGCAGTGTTGATTTTACGCAACTTGCTGTGCATTACCAAAGACAACATAATTTCAAATAACAAGATTTCTATAAGTATAGGAAATGTATGCAAATTCAGGTCACAATGAAATAATTTTGTAGCTTTTAGTGTTGTATACCAAAACACGTCTGACTTAGCATTTGCAATTTTTGTGTGTTTGCATTAATTACAATTATTTGTAATTAATCTTACTAAAAGTACGGTCTATTAATCTGTTGAATTTTGGGTGTAAGGAAAACTGGAGGGCGGTAAAAGGTTTATCTTGCAGAGACGTTGAAAGTCGTCCTTTAAGAAATCGATTTCTCTGTAAATCTCAAAACAGATTTCTTGAGATAGACTTTTTGTAACGAATAAACTATTTTTACTATGTGCCTCCGTCGCAGTTGGGTATCTTTTCGGTAAAAGTACCCACTCGCATCAATTTCTCGGGATTGAAAGTCAATAGGATTTTTATCGATAGAATGTCTTTTTTAATTTTTAAAAATGTGAAACGCAAATGTAATGCCACTTTTGTATCATACGTATTTTAAATAAACTAACAAGTGCAGTGTGCTTTTTATATGAATGCAATAAACTTTTCTTTGTCATTAAAGCATATTCTGTAAACTAATGTATCCACGCGAGGACTTTTCAGTGTTCTTCTCTAACATGGTATAATAATACCATAATAAGATGGAAAAACTAAGATACCCATGCATAAGACATTAACGGGACAGTCGAACCCTGAAATCACAATATTTTGATAACACCTTACTAAATCTTCGAAGTGACGTTAGAGTTTGTCGTCCTTTCTAGGAAAGTGTCCGCCGATGGCCTTGTGGCGACTCTGACCAAAGCTTGCACGACGTGGATCCGAATCTGACATTCCTCGTTGGTTCACTGACATTGTCAGAATCCGCCTACATTTGTGTATTAGGTGGAGTGGACCAGAGTTGGGACCACCGATCGAGAGATCCAGATCCGTGTGAAACAAACAGCGGGCCAACAATCGAGGTTACTATTGTTTGGGGTTATCCTCTTTTTCAGAGTAATTGTAATATCGCGTACCACCTAATCACTTTTTCTGTATAATTTGCTTGACGAGTTTTAATGAGGTCCCCAGATGACCGCAGCTATACAGAGTTATCTTTTTTTAGGGCCTCGAGTGCTACCACGGGCTTGCTTAACTACCCATATTTCAGTCAAAGTTTTCAGACGTTGGCCTCGTGGCGCAATGGTAGCGCGTCTGACTCCAGATCAGAAGGTTGCGTGTTCGAATCACGCCGAGGTCATTCGTAATGTTGGGCTCTCTCAATTTTTTAGGGGGGGGGTGTACACACGAAATGCCGACTTTTCAGACCCCCTTGTTCGCATTGCGTACGCAGTGGCTCCAACTACCTCCCCCATACGCATGGACATGATCATTCCACAATTCTGGGAGATGCTGCCTGGTTTTGTGTTATGCATAATGAGGAGTAATGTTGTGGTTTATTAATAATGGAGGTTGGCACGGGTGGATAAATGGTGGGGTGGACGGTGGAGAACTCTGTGTTTGATTTTCTACGCACAAATTTAAAAGCTGATTCTGGTAGTTATTTGTATGAGAAAGTGTATTGATAGGAAAATTCATTTAAGGCATATTTTCGTCTTAAACCCTTCTCCATCTGTACACCGTGGTGTACGCAACGGCACCAACCCCCCAGTCTTCGTGTGTACATACTTTAAGGGCGGCCCCATAATTATTTTCAGGTGTGACTTCACCCACAAGGCAACATAAGATCATGAAGAAAAATGGTGGCTTGTAACATTTCTTCTTTTTCATGATAGATGACACTTCAATAATACCTGTCGTGTTTTCTTCATAAATTAAAACAAAAACTGACATTTCAATCGCTCTTCTGTTTTACGTCATGAGGCGTCGAGTTGAATGGAGCACATGGAATTAGGGCAAAGGGCAAAACTATGTACTAACAGCAACACTAAGCACGCCGTATAGGCTTTAGGAATGAATTTGCTAGCCTCCTTGAAGATCCAGACAGAAATTCCAGTAAAGTTTATAATTTTGGTAAGGCCCACATTCTGGCAAAGATTGCTCTTTGCTCAGTGTTGTTACGGAACTGAGAATTGCGCCCTCTACGGAGAGGTCTGGAGCAAATTGATTCGTCATGGCGGGTCGAGCGGTGTTTTTCTTTTTATTATCAGCTGTCTGGTATGGAATTCCATATCTGCCGTCGCCCGTCGTCCGTCGTATTTTGCTTTTTGTTGTGTCCCAATTCTGCCATTTACCAGTTCCAAACATGCCATTTTCCGTCGTACGTCGCCCGTCGTCTGTCGTGCGTCGCCCATCAAATGGGTTGCATAGGACCTGCAAAAGCCGGGGCTTAACAAATGACAATGTGATGATTCCATTCACCTCTAAAGATCTTTTCCGAATAAGGCATGTACAAATCCCACTTGCAAAGCATATACTAGTCCCATAATTAATTCCAATAATGCTAGACTACCCCTGCCCCTTGACAAGAAAATATCGCCTCTCTGAGAATTCAACCGAGTGCTTTTTGGGGAAAAACATTTTCAGCAAAAATGTTTCGGCCAACTTATCCATAGTGTTATTCTAATTTGTATTCTGTAAAAATATGCCGACTTGTTTTCATCAAATTCCAGGAAGAAATCTGCCGACCGATACAGATATTCCATCTTGTCCTTTCAATTTCACCTTGAAATCCAGAAATACTAGACGAACTGTGGATAACAAACTGTTTATTAAATGTATTGTTACGGGGCAATCACCACTTGGTTTAAGTTTCAGAAAATATGACTTGTTGGTTT